TTTATGTATTTACATGGAAACTCAAATAGCTGTGTTCTGTATACACACTTGTAGCCCTAACTGATCAATAAATCTATTGTTTATGTATTTACATGGAAACTCAAATAGCTGTGTTCTGTATACACACTTGTAGCCCTAACTGATCAATAAATCTATTGTTTATGTATTTACATGGAAACTCAAATAGCTGTGTTCTGTATACATACTTGTAGCCCTAACTGATCAATATGTCCCTGTTTGTGTACTTATATCAGAACTAAAAGAACTGTGTTTGGTTCACCTGAGCCATAACTGATCAAATAGTCCCTATTTGTGTAAGTATAGGACTTTCTAAACCATAATGAAGCCATAACAGCAAAACATCAGCTGAAATGAACTAGTCTTTTGACTCAAAATTATAATAATATTTGTGGTTCTAATAAACACCATGCATCTGGTTCTGAATAACATCTGCACATAAATCAAATATCTCTGTAGCTAACTTACCAGGCCTCCTAAGGTGAATAAGCAGCTCACTACCTGCAAAAGAGAAATAGAATTTTTTTTTTTATTTTACCAATGCTGTGCACATAAGTGTGTGAATATAATAATACATTTTAAACTATTGAACTCGTAACAATAACATTCATCTTAGATTCAAGATCAACTGTACACTCAGTTTAATAAAGGTCAAAGAACCTTATACAGGAACTTTAGTGCATGACTGATGATCTCCATTCATTGTATCTAAAGGAAAACTTCTACACGTAACTTATTTATGTTACACGGGTTTATTTACTCAACCCCACTGTTACATAACATTTGTGGTCTTTGAGCTTCCCACTTCAAAGCTAAAAGTTCATGCCTGATCACCCAATTTCAAGGTTATAGCTGGTCTGATTGTAAGAACTCCAAACTAATTAAATGAAAGTTAAATCTGAGGCTTCTGGTTAAAGTACGTTGTTGATTTGTGACATAAAAGCTGGCTAGTATTCCAAAACTTTCAGGATTCTTGTAATAAAGATCCATCAACTGACCACTGCCTAATATATTAATTTTCAACTATACATATATAATACCAACTGACCACTAGGCTAATAATATACAAATTTCATGATTCTTGTTTCTTGTAGTAAAAGATCTATTGATTGATCATTAGCTAATATTCTTAAACTTCAATAAATAACCTTTGACTGACAACTGGCTACTATCAGAAAACTTTCACTATTCTTACAATAAAGATCTGTTGACTAACTACATATCTGTAAATTTTACTGGCAAAGAAAAAAAATTATTACATCATAAAAAATAATACGTTACCTAGTGAAAAGAGTTTACACTTTCAAAACTTCTGAATCAAAACAAACAATATAGCTTTTTTTAAAGATCATACCACGTACTTCACATTTGCTAACGATAAATACAATTCAACGGTATTAATAAGCAGACAGCCCAATTAAAACTGAAATTTGACATTATCACATGACAGTTAAAAGTGAGATATAACTCCAAACTGCAGATAAGTCACATTTTCACACATAAGTGGAACTAGTAATATTTACTAATCCTCTTGTTACACTCACCATGTACAGGTTCTTTCTTTCGTATAAATCGTTGACTTGGAACAGGTCGTGAGGCTTCAGTCCGTACTTGACACACCCTTTAAGGAACATTTCAATGTTTTCCATCTACTTACAGGTGAGAAAAAAATAGTATTCTTAGTAAAATATCATTATTTCTCTATTTTATAAGTTTCTCTATGAAGGCCATTTGTTATCCAAGATTTCAACAGCCTTGTCTGCCTTGACAGAACATTTGTTTAGCAAGATTTCAACAGTCTTGTCTGCTTTGACAGAACATTTGTTTAGCAAGATTTCAACAACTAACAACATCTCCTTGTATACCTTAAGATGACCTTTGTTAAGCAAGAAATGAACACCTGATAGAAAGACAGATATGAAATATATTTTACACACCTCTAACTTTTAGCCACAGTGGATAAATTAAAAGGAATGCAAGAGAAAAACATATGCAGTGAACCAATATTTTACAACACCTTTAAGCCTATTGGTTTCCAGTATTTTGCCAGTTTTCTTGCTTAAACTGTAACCTGTAAATATTCTTCTGTGTATATATATATATATATATATATATGTT